CAGATTTTCTTAAAGCCTGTCGCATTGTGGGAACCAATGCTTTTCAAATGGACACTCTTGCAGCTGCAATCCAAAAGGGGAATCAACCCCAAGGCACTTGCTTCAATTGTACTCTTCAGATGTATTGCAACTTTCTCTTGCTGACTGGGCAGGATCTGTTTCCTGTCATATTCCCTCTGACCCTCGCTTCCAACTCCTTAATAATGTTTCAATTTCTCTGCATTCTCCCATTTCCTCCTCTCCCATTCCTAACGCTGTCACCCTGTATGTTGATGGCAGCAAGACTTATGGTTCATGTGTATGGAAGGAGGGTGAACAATGGCACACAAAAATTACTCCTCCTCAAACTTCTGCTCAGCGTGCTGAACTTGCTGCTACAATATTGGCCTTACAAACTTTTTCTTCTGAACCTTTTAATCTTATTTTAGATAGTCTTTATGTATATAAAGTTCTCACCTCTTTATCTGATTCATATGTGTCACCCTCACTGGATGACTCTCTCCTCAGTCTATTTCTCACACTCAATCCCTTCTTCATTCCCGCTCTACTTGTTTTTTTCCTGCTCATATTAGAAGTCACCAACCTTTCCCTGGTATTATCTCTGAAGGCAATGCCAAGGCGGATGCTGCCGCTTCGGCCGCCTCGACTCACCAGGATGTTTCTGTCCTTGTTTTATCTCCCATAACCCCATGGGACAGCCATTCATATTTTCATCAAAATAAGAAGGCTTTAATGAAACAATTTTCTTTAACGGCTACGGAGGCTGTGGCTATCATACAACAATGTCCCACCTGCAGCCTCCAGCACACTCTGTTCCTCAAGGGGTCAACCCAAGAGGGACACAGAGCTGTCAACTTTGGCAAATGGATGTTACGCAATATTTGCCATTTGCCCCTTGGAAATATTTGCATGTTTCCATTGACACCTATTCAGGTTTTATTATGGCCACCCCTCAAAGGGGTGAGTCTGCTAAACATGTTATTAATCATTGTATTCGTACTTTTTCTACCCTGGGCAATCCAAAAGAAATTATGCATGCAAAAAAGAAAGGGGAAAATACCCCCGGCTTGCCTGGGATACAAAACACTCTTAATCTTGTACTTTTTACCTTAAACTTTTTGAATGTTTCTGGCACCCCTGGCTCAACTGCCGCAAGCAGGCATTTTTCTGCTTCTCCCACAGATTCTTCACGCCCCCAGGTATACTATCGACGTTTGCCTGATCCCACCTGGAAAGGGCCTGCCTCCCTCATTACCTGGGGTCGAGGCTATGCTGCAATAGACGACCATGGCGAGATCATTTGGACTCCAGCTCGCTGTGTTCGTCCTTATATGGCTCAACGTACACCACCTCAGCCAGGCATATGAGGATCAGGGACTGTGGGCTTTTAATGCTTTTGTACGGGATGCCAGGCGCACTGCTCTTACACTTAACGTCACGAACTGTTGGATCTGCATGCAAATTCCTGGTGACAGTTGTGGTGGCCTTATTTTCCATGCCATTCCGTTCAATGAAACAGGATGGAAGCAGCTGTGGGACATAACTACAGAGACATTGAATATGACATATGCTGTGGGCGCTCGTATAATGGAACCTGCCAGATTTTGTTTTTATAGCACAGGACTACTCCGTACTGCCATTTATTTGGGAACTTATAGTAATTGTCAACAAGTTATTATATGGAATTCAGCAAAGAAATGTAAATCCATCAAAAGCAACCTTACTAAGATAAATGACACTTATCAAAGCAATCAATGGACAAACATCAGTACCTACATGGCTTGCCTTGACATGGAATCCATAATAACATTTGCTAATGAGTCTCACCAGGGTTATTATGAGTTACCCGATATGTGGCTACTATGTGGCCGTAGAGCCTATCGCCAGGTGCCTAAGGATTGGAAAGGCACCTGTACACTGGGCCTTTTGACTCCTGCTGTATATGCCTTGCCTCATCTCCCTGATGGACGCCTGCGGAACAAACGTGATACTGGTTCCTCGGATCCACCCCTAACATTGGGTGGTAGTTTAGAGACTCAAATCAGCAGAGGGATTCTACCCAATCTAGGAGTTGCCATGAACTATAGAGACCTTCATTTGCTTAACAATTGGACTGTTCATATGTTTAATGAAACAATCAACAGCATTAAAATGATTAATCAAGAAATGGGGGAAATAAGGGAAGTAGTTTTGCAAAATCGGTATGCTTTAGATATTATTTTAGCAGCAAAAGGCGGTGTATGTGCCTTAATTCATTCTCATTGTTGTATGTATATACATGATTTTCAACCTAATATTTCTGCTACAGCCAGGAAAATGGAATCTTTGCTCCAAAATAATCCCTTACGCAGCGATGGATCAGGCACCGTGGATATTTGGGGTGCCCTTTGGTCCTGGCTACCGGATGGATCCTGGCTACAATCTTTGATTTCTATTATAGTAACCATTTTGATATTATTTGTATTGCTATGTTGTTGCATTCAATGTATTCCCTCCCTCCTGCAAATGTGCAAAAATGTTACGCCTTCCACTAGGAAGGACGCCTTAATCAGTGAATCAAGATCCCTTCTGGAACTGGAAGTGAGTAACATTAAAGAAAAAACAGAAAAGGAGGAGATGTGGGATTAATTGCACAAATACCCATAGACATCTCCCACAAGGTCCTTGAGATAACAAACCAGCTCTAGACACAGGATGCATTCATCAACCATTTGGACAGACTCTGATAAGAACACCTGCAGTAGCCTTGCATCTGGAGAGTGTTTGTTATTTGATATATTGTAACCACCCCTATATACGTCTTTTGATTACGCTGTGTGATGTAAAAACCTTAGTAACAATAAAAGAGGGTGCTGGAGTCAGCTCTGGGCTCTCATCCCGAGATACCTGCGTGCATGTCTCATTCTTCATGGGAGACCACCACAATAAGATATCTTCTTGTACATCAGTTGAGGTCATGTTTCAGTCTGACAGGACATGGTCTGTTTAAAATGCAGTTAGCCATCCTTCGATGTCCTATTAGTAAGGTTGCATTAAAGGACTTGCAGTGTTTATTACTGTAGGAAGAGTATATTGTATAACCTCATTGCTGAGGACAGTCTAGGATTCAAAAGCTGTTGGACAAGCAGCACACGTGGCTGAAAAGTCAGCTATAATAGGGCTTCTTATCACTTGAGATTTACAAAGATTGTTTGCCTGGAACGTTGCTCCCCAACATTTACAAGTGAATCAGCAGGAATATCAGAAGTTAAAAAGACTGGACTCCCTTTATGCAATGATGTTTGTGCTATCTATGAATAGGGAGTATAATTTTAGTTTAAATAAAAATTCTGCATTTTTTTTCTCTTCCCCACCTTCCTAAAAATATAGAAGCTGACAGCTATAAGATAGTGATGTCTCATTTTTTGTATAATGACTCATTACTCAGAAATGTGATGGCAGTTGGCTGCAAGAGCAACAACACAATGCAACATTAAGTGCCTTTTGGGAATCGTGTAGCAGCCTTACACCTACAGGAAAAGAGAAAGGATGGTTGGAGCGGAATGAAGTGTCCTAAAAAAACAACAACTCTCCTCTCCACTAAGTCTCAGTCCCCTCCCTTTCTATTCCCAAACACTATATTGCCAGATGGAAGGACTTATAGCTGATGAATTAGCAAATGAGCTTGCTCTCTTTTCAACTGCAGCCAATTTCATATAGTCAGCTAGAAAGTCATCAGATTCAAAAGTACTGGTTGTATTCACACAATATGTTCATCCATACTTAAGTGAACCATAGTTTAATCAATCAATTCCTTGGGTCTGCACACATACTGAACAACAAAATTAATTACATTGACTGAACAAGCACAAAATACTGAACCACAATCTAGGCAAACATTTTACTTTTCCATATTGTGCAAACCTTCATGCAAACAAAAGCCAATTAGGTTAAGTGAGCAAGCATACTCAGCAATCACAATTAAGCCTGCCAAGACCTATACTGGATCTATACAATACATTAGCCCTTGGGGTTTAATTAATTATTCTATTTGCTGGATTTTCACAACAGACTGAACCATAAAACATAAACCCAATGGCCTGGATCCTGCAAACACAACTACTTGTCTACGTCTCAAATACTTTCCAGAGTGCTTGGCATGTTTTGATACTAGAGGGGCAGAATTTGACCCCCCTACTCAGTTCCAGCCTCATCAGGATAATGCCAGGATAAACTTTTTATATCTACACGTTGGTATTATGAGGTAGCATCCATCCCTAATAGGCCTTCTGGGACACTGGGCTTGTACGACATACATGACCACAAACAAGGCAACTATTTCATATTTAGCAGTGTGTTGGGACACAACCTGTGTGATTAGGTAATGGGTTAATCATGTGTTCTCTGAACTCAGGTAATTGCTTGAACAAATTGGTCATAACAAAGTTGTGTAAATGCTGCAAGGATGAGAGCTACCGACTAAACGAAAACCTAAAAATAAGGTTTCACAGTGAGGTTGACACACACTGCATTTACCACCGCCTGGGAAAGCCAAGGGAAGTCATCAAAACAATTAAAAAACGAAAGTTTAGAATATTTTGGACATGTGATGCGACACTCGGAAAAATACGGCATACTCCATTTAATCCTCCAGGAAAAGACTGAAGGCAAACGAGGTCCAGGCAGAAGAATATCATGGCTTCAAAATCTAAGGGACTGGTTTGGACAAAACTCAACAGCACTTTTATCGTGCGGCTGCTGATAAAAACAGGATCACCAACATGATCGCCAACGTCCGATAACGGATATGGCACAAGAAGAAGAAGAAGAAGAAGAAGCCTTCTGAAGCAACTCAAACAATTCAAGAGGAACTTTTGCAAAGTCATACAACTCCGAACTTATATCGTAAAGTATTGTTCTTTCACACCGATGCCTATTTTCTTATACGGTATACTACTTTCTCCGGTCCTGTTCTTTTTTTGGGGGGGGGGGGGAAGGATTTTAACAAGGCCACACGACAATCGTTTTTATTCTGCTCCACCCCTCCCCTGCAAAGCGAGTCTGCGCGGCCGGTGGACACAGCCGACCTCCTCGAGGAGTTAAAGCCAGGTGCGGCAGACCGAAACTTCGGTAGCGCTTCTCACTTCCTGCCCTGCTCCACGCCGCGGCTCTTCTCTTCGTCGCTGCCGACTCACCGAGAGCAGGAGCCCTACAGCCGCCCAGCTTTTGAAGCGGTCCCCAGCTGCGATAGCGAACAAGTGCAACTTCTTTCCTCGGGCGGACTGGGCTGAAGCGGCCGCCGCGCGCTGCTGCTCTTCCTGCCTCCGCGCTTGCAGCGGCCACGGGCGGCGGGGTTGGTGGAAAAGGAGGAGGCGGAGGAGGAGGAGAAGGGAGGGAGGCGGGGAGAAGAGAATGGCAGCAGCCAAGGAGCCCGGAGCGCCACCAGCAACAGGGAGCAAGACCGGCGAGGGGGAGCCGGCGTTGTCCTTTCAGAGCCGCCTGTGGAGGAGCCTGCAGCTGGGGGGCAAGGGCAAGGGCAGCGGCAAAACGGGAGCCGAACGCCGCAGTGCGGAGACCTCGCCGTCGCTTCCTCGGAGCCACGCCATGGAGCAGCCGGCCAAGGCAGACTTGTTAACAGAGGGTGGCGGCGCCGCCGCCAGATGGGGCGGCTTGAGGCGTCGAAAACACGTGCTGGACCGCGTCTTCTCGTCCTCTCAGCCCAACTTGTGCTGCTCCTCGGCCGAGCCCCTGGAGGCCGTGAACACCGAGGCCGGCTCTGCGCTGCGCCGCCTCCGCGAGCATCTCCTTCCCCATCCCCAGGGCAAAGGGGGTCAGAGGCCCGGCCGGGGGTCCGACGACACGGCCGCCTCTTCCTCGGCCTCTTCTTCGCAACTCCCCTCGGCGGCTACCCCCGAAAAGGACAGGGTAGGCGGGGATGGAGCCCTCAGAGCCGAGGCGCGAGGGGAGCCTCCGCAGCAGTCCCGACTCGGGGTTCACCTGTCCCATCAGAAGAGCTCTTCTCTGCCCGGCAGCACCGCCTGCCTAGAGCAGTTGCTTGAAGACTCGCCCGCCAAGGTTAAAGCCAAAGAGCCGGAGTGCAACGGCAGCCCTCGTTCTTCGAAGATATTACAGGCAAGTGCTTTACGGTGTTTCTTTTGCAGCGGAGGATGAAGCAGATATCTGGTTTCCTTTAGCTCAGTCTCAGCAGGTTTAAGATGCGTGGACCAGGCTGGCTGGGGAATTCTGGGAACGAAAGTCCCCACATCTTATTAAAGTTGCTGACAGAGAATAGTTGCTTCCCCAAGTCTTTTTTTTTGGGGTGGGGGAGAGGAATGGGATGCTAAGAAGTAGTACAACTAATCCTCAACTTACAACCACAATTGAACCTAAAATTTCTGTTGCTAATTTTGTCCCATTTTACGTCTTTTTTTGCCACTGTTGTTAAATGAATCACTGCGGTTATTAAGTTAGTAATATGGTTGTTCGGTGAATTTGGCTTCACCCATTGGCTTTGCTTGTCAGAAGGTCGCAAGAGATGATCACATAATCCCAGGAGTTTGCAATTGTCATAAATATGAGTCAGTTGCCAAGCATCTGAATTTTGATCATGTGACCGTGGGGATGGTGCAGTGGTTGTGTGAAAAACTCATGTCAATATTTTCAGTGCTGTTGTAATTTTGAACGGTCACTAAATGAACTGTTGTAAGTCAAAGACCACCTGTATTGAGAAAATATAAAATTCCTAATGGAAAATCAGTTTGTTGACTGTCTCTTAAAAATGTTGTGAACTGCAACTATATTACAAGACTGCCCCCAATTAAGTTGTTGTGTTAACTTTCCCTTTCTTTCTGATCTTCCTGCCCTCCTCTGAATTATGCACTTTAAGAAAATTTACAAGCAGCTGTCATTTAATTTTTCTAGTGCAAAGGGAAGGATTTGTATGTTTGTTATTTCACTCTTGGTTCCATCCCACACAGATCCAGGTTTTCGAGAAAAGGCTACCAATGATTTTACTGTGTTTATTATAAGAGGCATTTTACCAGTGTTACAGTTGCTGCCTATGAGTTTCCCCTGGGGTGTCTGGTTGACTAATACAACTGAATGCTGACCTTATACCTCTGTCAAGCGTGATAGTCCTTATATGTAGGATGTACAATTTGCTCTACTTTAAGCTTTAAAAAGGTTCAAAAATTCAACCTTGGCAAAGATATAATCTATAATCTAATAGTATGTACTTGGTTTGTGTATGTAACATTTAAGGGAAGTGATTAGGTAAATAACATTTTAGAATTTGTGAAATATTTGTAAAAACGCCCTTATTTAGCCAGAGTGTATGGTAGTATGCCGTATATGATCTATCCAAAGAACCAGTGGTAGTTTACAGGTGATTTAGCATGCTCATATTTCCTGGGAGTGAGATGAAACATTGCACACCTAGAATTCTTGGCACACTCTTCAATTGATTTCACCCACCTAGCAGTGTAGTATCTAAGGCAGCCTTCAGAAAGCGTAATTTTCTGTTACTTTGTAATCTAGGTACAGGTAGTCCTCAACTTACAACAGTTCGCTTAGTGACAGTTCAAAGTTACAGCAGCATTGAAAAAAGTGACTTATGACCGTTTTTCACATTTATGACCATTGCAGCATCCCCATGGTCACGGGATTTACATTTGGATGCTTCACAACTAACTCACATGTATGACAGTTGCAGTGTCCCAGGGTCATGTGATCACCTTTTGCAACTTATGAGAAGCAAAGTCATTGGGTTAACCAGATTCACTTAACAACTATGTTACTAGTTTAACAACTGCAGTGATTCACTTAACAAATGTGGCAAGAAAAGTAATAAATTTCTTGCTTAGCAACATAAATTTTGGGCTCAATTGGGGCTGTAGGTTGAGGACTAACTGTACAGACCTTTTGTCTTACCCTTTGTGATCGAACTACAGCTGAACATTTAGGTTTCTTGACTGGGTATTGATTTTTAACTTATTTGGAAGCAACAAGATGGAAATCCATGTTGCAAGTCATGAGACCCCATTGAAGGACCTTCCAAGGTTTGTTTAGTTGCCCTTGCTGGTGAAAAGGCCCAGCTGGAAATGATTGGGCAACCTGTGCCAATTTTCCGTCAGCATTCCTAGACTATTCATAAGACAAGCACCGAATAAAGAAAACAGCTTTATATAATACCTGAGCCAAATCAAATCCATGCCTCTGCGAAATGTGCAAACATAGTCTCAGTGTTGTTCAGAGTGCTGCGAAGTATTTTTAAGTAAGTGCTAACAAATTGCCTAAGTAAAATTTAAATCTGTAGATGCCCTTGGATAAACTGTATTTCAGATGAAATCTTTTCTCTTTTAAATGTACTTCATCCTTACAACCTTAAATCTACATATTTATTACTGATAATGTAGCAGTGGCCAGGATTGTTGGAAGACTTCAGATGGCAGCTGAAAGGTTGCTTTCTGACAGCATTATTAGTCATGCCCTATTTCTTAGCACATTGACTTGGAAGTAAGCCCAGCTGATTGCAGAGCACCCGCCTGTAGACATAAATAAGGTGATAGCTATACTTTGTGGCATTGTTTTGTTTATGTTGTTACCTGTTATGAATTTAATTTTAGTTGTGGATCTAGCCATGTATATTTTATAACTTTGAGTTTTCTTTCTGTTTCATTACAACCATATTTCTCTGCATTACTTGATTTAGCCTAATTGGTATAATTAAAAAGAAAGCAAATATCAAAGGTTTTAATGTTTTTAAAAAAAGCTGGACCTATAAGATGGATAGCAAAGAAGGGTCAAATGAGACAACAGCATAAGACTGCCTTGATATTGTATGATAAAGGTATACTTTTTAAATAAATGGTACTAGTTGCATTGCCTGTTTTTTTGTTTTTTTTTGGAATTCCCCATAATTTATTACCCTTTTGCTTATTCCTAATGCCTGTGTGGTTACAAAAATCAATTATAGCAACTGCATCTGTGCACTTTTTATTTTTGTGGAGATAACTTGATAGCTGAATGCATAAACATCTTGCAAGTCTTTGTTGTAAGTTTTGTAGGCATTGTCAGAGCAATGGAAGTTGAATTTCAAGTATTTAAAGTAATAAAAAGGTTGAGAGAATTGCAAGTCTGTACATATATATCCATGTAATTCACTCAGTTTTAATAGATGTACAAAGATGATATTAATTACATGACTTTATAAATGAAGTGACTTTGGATGATAATTATAAGGGGAAAGGAACTCTAAATTGTTCTGTTTTTGACACTACATAGTAACAGAACTGACTATTAACATGGGATAAAACCCAGTAATATAACTAGGCGTGGAATATGGGAACAACATACATGAAATAACATGCATCAAGAATAAAAAATGAATTTATAGAGTAAAACTTCACTTTCAATATTTTCAAATAATTATTTTTACCATTTGTGAAAGGATATAATTATACAACTTCTATAAAAATGACGCAAATTAAAAGGTCAAATGAAAATGGACACAAATTGTATAATTTGACTTTCTTCAATAATAATTGTTTCTAGAAAGTAGGAACACAGATTTCAAAGTTGAAGCAATTAGTTTGGTGAGCTCTAGTTCTTTGAGTTCAAAGTTTAATGGAGTGGTATTTTAAATTCATTATTTATTGTTTTTAAATATGCCTTTCTACTTAATTGGATAGTACCGTATTTTCCGGCGTATAAGACGACTCGGCGTATAAGATGACCCCCGACTTCGGAGAAGATTTGCATGGTTAGAAAGTCGTCTTATACGCCAGAAAATACGGTATTTTCCGGCGTATAAGACGACTCGGCATATAAGACGACCCCCAACTTTGGAGAAGATTTGCATGGTTTAGAAAATCGTCATATACGCCAAAAAATACGGTAAATATTTATAATCAGTAATTAAAATATATATAGAAAAGATTTTTTAAAAAATTGAAATGAATGCTAAAGTTAGCTGTTAAATGTCTCCTCTTTTGCAAAGGAAAAATACAGTTTTAAAAGAAGTATATTTCACAGATTCAGAGTGCAGCAGAGAAAGGTATTCTTCTAAGCAGCAAATAAAGAACCCTCTAACTGGGAGAGGCATTTTCAAATTGGCCCTTTTTGAAAATCTTAGCATCCAAATGTGCTTGCACAGTTAGACCTTTAGTTATTTAAGGTTTAAATGATTAAATGATATTCTACCCATCATTCAATATCAGTGTCCTCCTCATATTTAGAGATTAGTAACTTTCTTAATTTTAATATGAAGTTAAGAGAATGGATGGCCTCTTTAAATTAAAATTGGAAGATAGGGCAACCCTTTCCTTATATTTTTGTTTAGTATATTTGGATTTTATCTTGGTAATTGAAACAACAAATACAAAACCCCCTCATCTTTGAACTTGGTTTTTTTTTTAAAAAAAAAAGCTGAAAGATAAGGGAATACGGGAGTTACCAATTTAAAAGAGGTAAGTGAAGCTCTGCAGAAAATAATGCAATCTTGGAATAAGAAGCTAAATTTGCAGGAGACATTGCATGCATAGTCTTGCATAAGACTGATGGAAGAACCAGAAGACATGGTTTTGTCATCTGGCAAACAGATCTGATGAGGTTGATGGAGAGCCTGCTAAGTCGTTGTATTTTTAGGAAGATGAATGGTGCTCTTCTGTTGATTATGTTTTTATGATTTCAGTAGTTTCATTTTTAATGATTTTTGTGGTTATGTTTGATTAATTTTGTATTATTTTCTGGATTTTTAACTTTGTAAGTTGCCCAGGGCCATGGAAGGGAGATGGGCAGCTATATAAATTTAATAAATAACTTTGCCAAATAAAAACTTTACTATATGATTGGCTTTCTTTTTCTGTATCAATTTTAATCAGCATGAACAACAAGACAAATCTATGAAACAACTTGAACATAACAATTTTTACAGTCTATTTTCAGGGTTCCTTTTCAATTTGCTGTTGCATGCAAAATGTTGCAGTTATAAATAGGCTTACTCACAAACACTAATTACAGTACAGATGTGCTATTCATTTCATATAAGCAGATAAACTTGGAACTGAATACTCCCACTAGGGTAATCATACTTGATATTCTGCACATACTAATATACAAGAAAGTATTTATTT